GATCAGCCGTGACACAGGTTCATGTCGCTTCCGTCCAAGGGCAGATCCAGACTCAGAAATGTGTGGAGATAGTCATGCAAATATTTACATTTATATTTATAGTCCGTACACGTGATCTGTATCAGTGTATATGTATAACTTGGGGAATGGGACTTTTTTTTTTTTTTTTAAGAAAACTTTAGAAAGCAATTAATAAATGAGTTTATGAAAGATAAAATCGTACTGATAAAATCTGGTGTGACTTTATAATCTAAATTTAAGCAGTTTCACTTTTTACACTCAAACGGCTGAAATGTCAAAATCTTAAAGGGGTCATATGATGCTGCTAAAAAGAACATTATTTTGTGTATTTGGTGTAATGAAATGTGTTTATGCGGTTTAAAGTTCAAAAAACACATTATTTTCCACATACTGTACATTATTGTTTCTCCTCTATGCCCCGCCTTTTTGAAACGCGTCGATTTTTACAAAGCTCATCGGTCTGAAAAAGCAAGGTGTGCTGTGATTGGCCAGCTATCCAATGCGTTGTGATTGGCCGAATACCTCAAGCGTGAGACGGAAATGTTACGCCCCTCACATACTGTTGATGCAGTGTCCGGCCGGAGCGACGAGACATAAACATAAAACCCATTACAAACGAGGCATTCGTTGCATCCAGTGGGGACATAATTACTGATTATAATGACGTATACTGTCTTTTTACACGTTGCGTTGCATCGCGCCGCGTAAACATAAAACCATGTCTGCATTTGTGATCAGAGAAATGACAAACAACAAGTGCTAACGTTAATCCACACTGCCCAAAACTCGCGTTTGAATCATCAGTGGCAAATCCTTTAAATGAAAACGTACTTACGTGAGTCAGAACTGCCGGCATTTTAGTCTAACGTAACTCTCCCAGGATCAGTAAACAGTCCTCCATAAAATGTGCCGGCGATCCACAGCACTAAGTTGAAGTATTCCCTCAGCGACCAGCACAGATCAGCTCTAGGCATGACGAAGCGGATATCGTCCTCTTTTGGAAGACCAAACAAAGTAGTTTCGCTTTCACAACGAAAAACACAGCGGCCTAGCGTGAGCGAAAGCCCCGGCTTAGCCTGAGCTGAAGCCGGGCAAGAGTGAGCTGAGGCGGCGGGGTCGAGAACGGCGGTCCCGGCAAAGGAGCGGTGAAAACGGTGAAAGCCAATCCGGCGATCCACAGCACTAAGTTGATGTATTCCCTCAGCGACCAGCACAGATCAGCTCTAGGCATGACGAAGCGGATATCATCCTCTTTTGGAAGACCAAAGTAGCTTCGCTTTCACAACGAAGCACACAGCGTCTTCAGGACATGGCGGCAGCGGCAACAACAAAACTACAGCGAGAATAAAAGTTACGCCTTCTTTCTTTGCGTGAACATTTGGGCGGCGTTATGCAAATCTTCCCACATAGTGAGGTAGATATGTGGGGGCGTGTTCGAACGAGCCGTTTTAGGGGGGTGTGGCTGACTCTTAACTTTTATAAAGAATATCTCTTTGGATTTGAGACTTTAGTCTTTGCAACTTTACAGATCTTCTTTATGCACCAAGAGCTTGTAACACTCCAAAGAGAAAGGAAAAAATAAAATCGCATCATATGACCCCTTTAACACCGATCTGAAGATTTTATCAAAAGTTTTAGCTAACAGATTAAAAGAAGTGATGCCCAGTATAATCGAAACAAACCAAGCATACAGTATTAAAGGAAGAGACATTGCGGATACAACAATGAGCATAAAAGATACGATACGATATATTACTGAAAAGAAGAAAGATGGTTTTATAATCAGTTTGGACTTTGAGAAGGCTTTTGACAGGGTAGAGCATGATTTTTTATTCGGGGTTCTAAAGAGTTTTGGTTTTGGAGGGAATTTTATTAAATGGGTTAAGATTTTATATGAAGGTGCTTTAACGAGAGTAAAATGTAATGGGTTTTTAACAGAGTGTTTTAAATTAACGAGATAAATTAGACAGGGTTGCCCGTTGTCGGCACTTTTATATGCTTTAGTAGCAGAACCACTGGGATTAACGGTAAAACAGGAGGGGAGAATAAAAGGGATAGGCATAGAGGGAGGAGAGAATAAAATATTTCAATACGCTGATGATACTACGCTAATGCTTCAAGATCTGGCGAGTGTAGGGGAAGCAATGAAAATAGTACAAAACTTTTGCAGGGGATCAGGGGCTAAAGTGAATGAGGATAAAACGGTATACATGAGATTTGGGGGAACTGAGGTTTTAACTGGGCACTTTAATTTTAAGGAAATGAATGAAATAAAGATTTTAGGTGTTTTAATGGGGAAGGATGAAACGAAAGCAGATGGAACTATGTGGGAGGAGATTTTAGGAGGGATCGAGAGAAGGTTGAATTTTTGGAGATTAATGTCCTTAACTTTGAAGGGGAGGGTTTTAATTGTGAATGTTTTAATGGTTTCTAAGTTATGGCATATTTTATATGTGGCATCAATGCCGTTGTGGACAGAAAAAAGGCTGAAAAAGAGTGAGCAGAGGCCGGGGGATAAAGTGAGGAACGGCCGGAGGGTTAGAGTGAGCAGAGGCGGGTGGGCTTGAGAACGGCGCAGCCGGCGATTTCGACGATGGAGCGTCCGGAAGGACATGTGACGGCTCCGGGCTGGACTCCGCTTCGTCCATGGTGAAAGCCGATCCGGCGATCCACAGCGCTAAGTTGATGTATTTCCTCAGCGACCAGCATGGATCAGCTCTAGGCATGACGAAGCGGATATCGTCCTCTTTTGGAAGACCAAACAAAGTAGTTTCGCTTTCACAACGAAGCACACAGCGTCTTCACGACATGGCGGCTGCAACAATACTTACAGCGAGAATAAAAGTTACGCCTTTCTTTGCTTGAACATTTGGGCGGTGTTATGCAAATCTTCCCACATCGTGAAGTAGGTATGTGGGGGTGTGTTAGAACGAGCCGTTTTAGGTAGGTGTGGCTGACTCTTAACTTTTATAAAGAATATCTCTTTGGATTTGAGACTTTAGTCTTTGCAACTTTACAGATCTTCTTTATGCACCAAGAGCTTGTAACACTCCAAAGAGAAAGGAACAATTGAAATCGCATCATATGACCCCTTTAAAGGAATATTTTTGTTAATGGTAAATGATATGTAGATGTAGATTACTGTGTATTTGTTTATTTATGTATTTGAGCATTTATATAGGCATTTAATTTTTTCATTTGTATTATTTGCTTATGTTTATTTATTTTGTTTTACTATCTAAGCTTTGATTTGAAAATGTATGTATCCAGATTTATGCATTTATTTTTTTTTAGCATTATACATTTATTTAGGCATTTAAGCATTTATTGTCTGCTTTACATTTATTTATTTATTAATGAGCTTAGGGTTCATTAGACTTATCTGTCTCTTTAATTTTGTACTCTTTATTCATTGATAAATGTGCTTTTGTTGAACAGTTTTACATTGAAAACACTACTGTTCAAGCCGCGTTGATCCAAAGCTCAGGTCATGTTTTATTCGTGTTTGATGCAGACGCTTTAAAGCCCAGCAGAAGCCGGTCTTTTATGTCCGGTTCTGCATTATGTCCTGAATTAAAGTCTTTTTAGCTGTTTTATGAAAAGGTCAAACTCTCATTATGAGTTTGAATCACTCTAATGACTCACTGAATCAGTCGTAGATTTTCACTGAATTTCTTGACAAACTCAAATGTTTGTAGATAGACATTATTTTAATAAGTATAAGTATAACAATAACTATGAATTCAACCATAACTATAAATAAAACCATAACGATAACTGTACCGATAATGATAACCGATAACTGATAATCAGTAAATATAACAAAAACGATAAGTATACTTGCATCAACAGAAACAAACGATAATGTTTTCTTTATTCTAAGCGTGCGATGCAGTTTTTAATCTTCACAGAACTCTGACTCCCATCATCTCAGGCTGAAGCGGAGCTGTGAAGAGCTGCTGATGTTCATCAGTCAAACCCACGCGCGCGAGTTTGAGTGTTTGACGTGCGTCCTATAGATTCAGCACACATCCGTGCGTTTGGAGGCTGCTGCTCTGGCTTTTCTGGCCTGACGTGAGATGCTTTATGTGAACTGTTGTGTTGTTCTAGTTAGGGATGTAACGATTCACTCAACTCACGATTCAATTCGATTCACGCTTTTTTTTTATAAAATGAGATTTAAGACAAATTATAAATTAAATTTGTCCTTTTATTATTGCTTGGCAAAATGCTGCACGTTTCTTTGTGTAATTGAAATATAACACTATAATAATATACTAATATAGCACTTGCATATTATTGCTCTGTTGTTGGTTTTGATTGCTTCTATTGTCCTCATTTGTAAGTCGCTTTGGATAAAAGCGTCTGCTAAATGACAAAATTTAAATATAATGTAAATAACAAAACTAAATTGAAATTTTAAAACAAACCCCAAATCAAATAAATGCGTAACACACACTCTCTGCCAGCAGGTGGCGTTTAAAGCGTTTCCTTGGTTTCCGCTGTAAACAAAGCAGAGCTGCGCTTATGAACTTTAATATGCATTATACAGAGGCAAGATGAAAAGAAAAAATACCACCTAAACTTTCCTAAAGAGAGTAAGTTCCCCTCAGACATCCATTCATATAAACTCCTACCCCTAATTGAATCGCGATTTGTTTAGCATCTCAACCGATTTGAATCGTCACATATTTGAATCGATTTTCGACCAGCTCGCAGTTAATCGTTACATCCTTAGTTCTAGTGTTTCAGCTCGATCACCAGGTGCATTTTCTGGGCAAGTGTGGAAGGTTTGTGCAGTGAATGTCACCCGAGTCTCAGCCGCAGGCGTTTGTTCCTCCGTTAATCACTGATTAACACAAGCAGCTAGAAAAGCCTGAGATCTGCTCTCTGATCCGGCAGACCTGCATTAACTGTGACCACAGGGCGCAGATTAGACGGCTTACGGTGACTGAGAGCGTTTGTGTGTTTGTGAGGAGATGAGAGCGTCCAGAGGTCATGCTGAAAGATCTCGTTCCTCTCGGCTCTTCCCACGTTTTAGCAGCCCGTGTGAAGTAACGAACGAGTCCATCTGTTTAAACACCCCCCACGCTTCCCTTTATCTGCAGCGTTTTCTTCTTGTTTCTGGCCTACTTTTAGAGTTCAGTCCGTATCAGATCGTGTGTTCAGTTAATTAGCTGCGTGTTAATTGAGATTTCAGAGCCCCTCATCCTCATGTAATGCTGTGCGTGAGTTTGATCGAAGGCTTGACTTTCACCAAGCTGCTTCAGCTGAGGAACATGCGAACATCAGACGGGTGTTTACATTGAGCTAATTGTGCTTCTTGATTGCTGTGTATTTATAGCTGAAAGGTTAGTGAGCACTAGGTGGATAATTACTGAAGGTCAAGATGCTAATTACCTCAGATGTTGTATTTTGCTTTCACTTCAGTTTTTGGTTCAACGATTAGCTTCTCCCTTTTCACATCTACTATACTTTAGATTTCCTGGCTGTACGTTTTCATTTATTCAACCAAATGTTCTCTAAGTCATGGTTTACTATTGCTATTCATCTAAAACTAAAGCCTAGAAAAATGGTTCTTTCTAAGAACTGTTTACTAAAAGGTTTGGGGAACCCAAACTGGCTCTTCTTTTTGAATCCTTTATTTTTGAAGAGTGTATGATTCTTCAGAGAGCCGAAAACTCTTGATGTTTCAATGTAGGTCTTGTTGTTGCAAAACCAATTTAGCCTATCTAGGGTTCTTGAGTTGCTGTATGGTTCTTTGGGGAGCCTCTCTGGGCTCTAAATTACCAGTACGTACATGTTTTTTTTTTTCTAAATAATGGACAATAAAAAGTGATTGTAGAACGGAAAAAGCTTTTCTGATGAAATTAAACATTTAAACATTTGGTTGTTCTTGTTGATCAAGAACAGTTTTCGGCTCTCTAAGGTTCAGCATATTGGTTTCTGGGTTTGGAAGCACCAGTTCACAGATGGTTTCTGAAGAACGGAAGAATAAAAAAGTGCTCTGTAGAACCTCAAAAGGTTCTTCTACACTCTTAAAAATAAAAGTTCCAGTGTTTTTGCAGTGATGCCACAGAACAGGGGTCTGAAACCGCCTCCTGCTGGCAGAGAATGAATCTGCATTTTCAATAAGCCCGTCTGCTGGTTTTATTCAGACCGATGTGAAAATCCACCCATGTTTTTATGCCACAAACACGCGAGTTGTAAATGTGAACTGGTGGTTCGACAAGAAGATAATGCATTGTAAAAATCTAAACAATTAAGAAGATGGTAAAATGTATTTATATGTTATTTAATTAATATAGTAATTGATTGATGATAATTGTTTAAATTAATATAAAGATTGATACTTTTGACTTTTTGTTTTCTAAAAAAATGGTTTAAAGGCTAAAATGTGAAGTTTATTATTTTATAAAACTTTTATCAACCTGTATCTGAACTGTAAATCATGCTTTTTACAGTCATTTTAATTTTATTTGTGCAGACCTTAAAAAAGGTCTTAAAGTCTTAAATTTGAGCTTAAATATCCTGCAGGTACCTAGTCTGGCAAAAACCATCAATTCATGTTTTTAGGTATATAATTGTCCGGATTCGTTACTGGACCTCAAGCCATTTTAGTTGAAGACCCCTGTATTGAAGAACCATTTCTGGTTCCCCAAAGAACCTTTCAGTGAACAGTTCTTAAAATAACCTTTTTTTGTGCATTGGAAATGTTCCATGGATGTTAAAAGCTCTTCATGGAACTATCAATGGCAATAATAACCTTTATTTTCAAGAGTAATAATATGAACCCTTAAGGTTCTAAAATGCACCTTTTTGGTGCAAATAAGGTACAAAGATGTCCATTTGAAGGCTGTTGTACCCCTAAAAGTAAAATTTTTGCACGTTTTCGGAGAGTGAACTTCCTGTTTTGATACTACGTCAACACAGGAAGTAATTTCATGGGTCTGTAATACTTAATGATTGGTTTGACCAACTGCACTTTGAACACAGTGCCACTTAAATTTCAAACACCATCTCTTTTGATTGATTTTTGTTTTTCTCGAAGTCAAATTTCCCCAGTCCATGTGAGTGTTTGGTGACCCCGGTGGGCTCAGCGGGCCTCGCCACCTCTACTCTTGCTTTCATTTTAAACACTCAATTTATTTCCTTTATGAGGTAGATCTTGTAGATTGAATCATTTTCACAGTTGGAGGCTCATTGTGGGCCTGGAATGAAATGAAGTCCCAAATCAATCCCGAACGGGAACAACGTGAGCTCGGCATCGCGTGACGGAGGAGACGCTCCAAATGACTGCTGGGACCGAATGGGTTGTGTTTGTGTTTCTCTGGTAGAGATCCTTCAATCATTCACCTCGGAGTGATTTTGATTGACTATGGCATAATCGGCCTTAATTTCAGCACTTTTCTTTTCATGTCAGAAATTCCATAAAGGTGTCATTCTGGCCGTATTTTCCGCCAGTAGATTTACTGCTCAGAAATGGAGCACTTTTTTCCCAGCTTCCTTGTGTTGCGGGAATCTAAACAGCCATGAAATTGCCTGAATAATGGTGTTTAAATCCAATCTCGGTTAGTCGCCCGTACACTGTTGGCTGTAGGTCCTGTTTTCATTTGAAAGCTATTGCATTTGTAGACATCTCAAAATTGGCTGCCAGTGATATTGGCTTGCATTTATTGTGGCCTCACTGGCGTCTATGGGAATCCTGTCCTCATTATAGTCCAGAGATCCATTTGAGATGCATTCGAGCAGCACACAGATACACAAACATATATAAAGCAGTGTTTCCAATTTGCTGCTTGTATAGCAATGTTTCTAATGTTAATTTTACATGTCGCTCCACCCGTATCCGAGCCCCTTTTGAGTGGATTGCACATCCAAACGCCATGAAATGAATTCTACTCAAGCCACTGAAACAAAATTAGCTCCGTTCCCATCCCCCTCCTCATCTCTTTTTTTCCCCTCTTGATTTCCCAAGGTAATCCAATTTTGTCCTGAAGAAAGACCAAATTAATTTCATAATGCACTGATCAAACATTGCCCGAGGTGTCTCCCTCCACAAAATGAGTTTCTAGAGAGATGCAGATGTTTGAGGATGAACAGCCAGCCGAGGAAATAAGGAGACGGAGAGCGATGCAGACGCTCCAATATCTTCATTTTTATTGGACGATTTTTCTTGTGCGACGTCTGATCATTTTTAACTCATCCAGTATTCATCACTCTTCCGTATTTATTGCGAAACACCTCCGGCACGAGGCGCTTCGTCGGACAGCAGAGTCTCAAATTGGAAACATCATTGTTTTTTGTGGAGAGTTTGCGGGATACTAGTCGTAATCCATTGAGGGTGTTTGCTTGGTGAAATCCCACATACATGGCTTTGTGTGCGCTGAGAAACAGCCCCCCCCCCCAGTAATTAGGATTACCGAATTGTCCCCCCAATGTTTCTGCTGCACTCTTATGCACTGCTCTGCTTGTTATGATGACAAAAAGGTTTAAAAGTTAGATTTTTAGGCTGGTCAAGACGTCTGACAGTGCTCTTCAATGTCAAAATGATCGAGGTTAATCAAATTAAAGTAGGCAGTGCTCGAGCATCAGTTTTAATGTTGAAAGAGACCGTGGTAAGTTGGAAGTAATGAAACCGTCCAATGATGCAAATTACTCTACTTTTCCCCTCAGAGTTCACCGCTGTTAATTGAAAATATGGTATCATTTACATCAGGGGCCTCCAAACTCGGTCCTGGAGGGCCGGCGTCCTGCAGAGTTCAGCTCCAGCCCTAATCATGTTAAATGTTCATTCTTTCCTGGGGAATTTTCTGGGTTTCCGTGTTTTCACTGTTATACGCTAGGGGGCGCTATTACACATCTGAATGAGTCCACAATCACCCGATCAAAAACACAGGCGAGGAAGACGCAGAAACGAGCGATCATTTCTCATATTTCTGATATATTTCTTACATTTTTCATATGTAAGCAGATGCATATGAAAAACAATGCGATCATGAACAATAAACAGCATATAAATGAAAACTGCCTAATGTTACTGAGTGAAATGTCGATCCAAGAAGTGATAAAGGACTGTGAAGCTTTGGGGGTGTTGATGGAAGCTATCGACTGCATCTTTGCGTTGATCATTGAACTGAATATGATCCAGATGTAGTCTTTGATTAAAAACGTGATTTTTCTCAGCTTTTTTGCTCAAAATGTTGCTTTTTTTTAATAAAACTTACCTACATTCAAGTGTTGATAAAAAAAGAATGCCTGAAGCTAGAATAAAACTGTGTTTGTTTATTTGTTTAAAAGTAGAGGCTCTGATCTTTATTTTGATGTATTGCATGTTGAGATATTCATACAACAAAATATTCTGGGGGCCATGAAATTTTAGTGAAAATGATCAAAAGTGCTGGCGGTGGCTGGCAACTTTTTCCAAAAACGCTGGCGGGGAAAGAGTTAAGAGACATGAAACGTTTTGCATTTTTGACATATTAGGCATGCAAATAAGAGTGATTGTGTGCTCATTTTAAAATATTATTTCAAAATGATCACTTCCCAACTAGAATCTCTATTTGTCCGCAGGTGAGGCGATCTCCACGCGCTACCCATCCGCAGCCGAACTGGACTCCTATGCACAAAGAACGGCCGACAGCCCCCTTTCAATCAAGATCTTCCCCTCCAACATCAGGGTCCCGCAGCACAAACAAATCAGCAGGACTGTCAATGGCTTGGACACCGCCGGCCAGGGCTTGGGCCCGTACTCGCACCCCTCCCAAGGCTTGCTGGCGATCGTCAAGACTTCCTCCAAAGGTGTGTTGAAGAGCGCCGATGGAAAACGAGCCAAGCTTTCCCCTATCCAGATGGCGGTGGCTCCGTACGCACCACCCAGCGGCAGCAGACACCGGCAGAGGCCGTATAGCGTTGTGTCCCACGGCGTCGTCCATCACATGAGCCATGCGTCCAACGTCCAATCCAGTCCTTCATTCTTGGACTCGAGTTTCGCCCAGAGCGCTCTGGCATATTCCGGAGCTGTGCTGCCTACTCAAAGCGCGGACTACTGGGCGCAGCGGCACTATCCACACATGTACGGAAGCGGGAGCGGAGCCGTCGTCAGCCGCTCGCCCGAGGTCTCCTACAGATCACACCCTCCCAGTCTAACCATTCTAGACAAGGTCCCGTCATCCCCTGCCATGCATGGCGACTTCTCGGTCGGCCAGTTCTTCGCTCCCGCTTGGAATAGCGTGCTTGCCACACCGGATAGCGACTGTTACAGCCTTCAGGATCTGCCTGCCGGCTCCACCATGGCCCCGCGCCTCCATCCGCACACCCAGCAGCCTCCGCCGTACCTGTGCTGCGGGCCGCAGGGGAAGAGCCTCAGCAGCAGCCTGCAGTCTCTGGAGTGCCTCATCAGCGAGATCCACCCGCCCTGCATCAAGGAGCGCATGCTGGGACGAGGGTACGACCCGCACGTTCAGCGGCCGGTGTTGAGATAGGATACTTATACTGGCTGAGCTGAAAGCACCGGGGAGTAGGGTTGTGTGGGTCACAGGTTTAAAGGGTAATGGTAATTCACACTGACCGGAAGAGACACTGGATCCTTTCCAATCATTAATGGGTACTGTGTTCATCAAGCTAGCGTCGATGTGTGTTTACAGACGGTTTGAAGAGATCTAGAGCTTTTCTAAGGCCTCTGGAAGAGTATTTCCTATCATACACTGCCGTTCAAAAGTTTTGGGTTGTAATGTTTCTTAAAGAAGTCTCTTCTGCTCACCATGGGTGTTTATTTGATCAAAAATACAGTAAAAATGTGAAATATTTTTATGATTTAAAACAGTTGTTTTCTATGTGAATATCTGTTAAACTGTAATTTATTTCTGTGATGTGCAGCTGTATTTTCAGCATCATTACTCCAGTCTTCAGTGTCACATGATCTTCAGAAATCATTCTAATATGCTGATTTGCTGCTCAAGAAACATTTCTGATTATTATCAATGTTGGAAACAGTTGTGCTGCACGATATTTTGTGGAAACTGATACATTTTATTTTTCAGGATTCACAGATGATTAGAAAGTTCAGAAGAACAGATCTGAAATAGAAATCTTTTGTAACATTATAAATGTCTTTACTGTCACTTCTGATCAATTTAATGCATCCTTGATGAATAAAAGTATTAATTTCTTTCAGAAAAAAAAAATTTGACCATAAACTTTTGAATTGTAGTGCAAGTAGGAAAACTGAAATAAAACTGTCCTCATTGTGTTCAAAGGCCAAACCCCAAAATGAAGCTCTCAACAGCTTCAATCATCTTCATTCCGTCAGAATAAATAGAAAGTGTTTGTCTCTGTCACTTTGTGGCAGATTTTTTTAATCAAACAAGACTTTTGTTGCTTTTTTTTAAAGGCTGCATTGTTTCTAGTGCATTCTGACTGTATTTTGCTATTATTTCCTGCTGATATCAGGCAGTGTTCACTGTGAAAACAGCCTCAGTTTTCAGCAGAAATGAGCTTGAACCGCTCTCATGTGATGTGTGAAACAGGCCTGGATCTCTTCACACCGATGACGCATCCTGAAAGCTGCTGGAGTGTCACTTCTCAGATTAGCTGCCAAAAACACGACAGGAAGTGACACGCGTCTGCTTCGGTGCCGTTTACGCCAGTCACCACAACACATTCACTAACTCATAAAAGCCATCTAAATGACGCTGAATCATAACGGCTATGTTTTTTCCTGCTGTGCATCATTGACAATGTTTCTGGCATGAGTCGCTCGTAGGAACACTTAATTTAAATAAATGCAAATTTGTATTCTTATGTTTGTTGCTGCCAGTAGGATGACATTCATATTTATAAGATTCTATATTCTAGTTGTTTTTTTATCTAAAGTGTTTCATGCTTGTCATCCAAATCCTCACAATCAGAATGTGATTCTTGACTGATTCTGCTGTTCTGATGATGATGATGATGATGAAGTTTGTTTTGATCTGCTGTTCCTCTATGAAGCTGTGATGGATGGTTTTGGGATCATGGAGTCGAGGTCACGACCTCTTCATCAATGCCTAATAATCATGTTATTAATTACCACGGGAACCCATTAGTATCTTGTATATTTTATTCCTTCTGTTTTATTTATTGATTGTTTTATTTGATTCAGGTGTCTGAGATCTGAGGTTTTGTCATGTTCATGTGTTTTATTTTGGGGTGTGTGTGTGAGAGAGTGTGTGAGTGTGAGTGAGTGAGTGAGTGAGTGAGTGAGTGAGTGAGTGAGTGAGTGAGTGAGTGAGTGAGTGAGTGAGTGAGTGAGTGAGTGAGTGAGTGAGTGAGTGA